TCGGCTGAAAAAGAATTCTGTACCTGAGACTAAATAGCTCATTCTGCTGGAATCCTATGCCCACCTCCCAACACCCATTCTCACCACCTTCTACAGAGGACTATCGAGAGTGTCCTGAGCAGCGGCATCACTGTCTGATATGGTAAGTGCACTGTATCGGATCGCAAGACCCTAGAGCGGCTAGTGAGAGCAGCTGAAAAGATCATTGGAGCCTTTGTTCCCTCCATCACAATTATTGCACCCGCTGCATCCGCAAAGCCACCAGAATTGTGGACCCCACACACCCCTCACACACACTCTTCACCCTGTTGCCTTCTGGCAAGAGGTATCGGAGCATTCAGGCCCCGACTGCCAGACTGCAAAACAGTTTCTTCCCCCAAGCCATCAGACTCAGCACTCAGTGACTGGACTGACACATGCACACTTTCACACATCAAGTTACTTTTTGCACAATGCTCAGTCTTTTTGCACAACCCGTTGTGTGTGGGTGTGTGTTTTGGGTGTCGTGTCGGGGACGGTGGCAGAGTGCTACACAGACGTATCAGGGTTCTTTTCATTCTGTAAATCTGCAAATTTTGGTAAAGATTTAGACATTTCTGTATCTAAGTGGGCAAAGGAGAGGTCCAAGTTTTCTGTGGGGGAAGTTGTGTTTATTCTGCTTTTGTGTCAACTGGTAACCAGTCTGAGTTTTCTGTCGCTGTGTGTTCTGTTGCTCAGCCAGGGTATCGGGAAAAATATTCTGCTAGGAATTATAGATGTGCTTTGTTTCTGTGTCAGCAACGTCTGTGCCCATGCATTCACCTCCAGGGCCTGAGAACAATAATACTGAGTTGGTTTCTGAGTAACTCAACAATAATGTGGTGTCTCCTGAGCCTATGGAATGTCATGTATGTTATGGAGTCTGAGTGTTTTGATTCATTTTCTGTTTCTGAGCTGGTCAATGCTGAACAAATTTTTTGTGTTCATAAGACTGTCCACTTGGAGACTGTTTGTTGCGGTAGTCAGCCAGCTAAATCTGAGACTGTTTATTGTGCAAGGACACTAACCTCCGCAGAGACTGATTATGCTCCTGAGCCAACACCTCCGTAAACTGTTTGCTGTGTTCCAGAGCAGCCGCTTTTGGAGAATGTTTATGCACCACACCCTGAACTCCTAAAGATTCTTGCTGCGCCTGAAGCCACCCCATCCGTCCTGGCTCCTAGGGTGAGGTCAGGATGGCCCAGCCTGTCCCTGCACTTGCATCAGTTCCTCGGGTAGGGGTGGCTGGTTCCAGCCAGTCAGTATATATTTCAGTCAGTTCCTGCACCCATCCTGGTTACTAGGGTGAGGACAGCCAGGACCCGGCCTACCTCTGCACCTAAGCCAGAGGGACACCCATCACCTGAGGCGGAACCTGAGCTCAAGTATCGTGGGCACCCAGAGCCTGTACCAGAACCAGAGGCTGAAGGTCCAGGGCTCCGTCATAGTCCTGGGTCAGTTGACCCAGTGTTATAAGTTTGTTGTGGATTTTCTAGAGTTCCTACAGTTGGCTAATGTTTATAATGTTTCATGTACTCTTCCTTGTCCTGTCACTGTGTCCCCCTTTCTCCTGTAATTCCCTTGTATTTATCTTGTCAGTTGGTGTTTCTCAGTCTCTGTCTCTGTGTTTATGCTTCCTGCTGTATTTTGATGGTCTCTCATCTTCTGTGGGTTATGTTTAATTTGCTTCCCTCTGTCTCATTTCCCTGAAGCAGTTCATTTTGGTCTCCTGGTGTATTCTATCTCCAGGTGGTAAAAGTACAGACATTCTTTACTTAAGTAGAAGTACAGAAAATAGTGTTAAAAAATTCTACTTAAGTACAATAATGAAGTATTTGTACTTCCTGCAAAAAGTCACATGAGTGTTGCCTGCAGAAAGGATCTCCAAATAAGGAGATGCCCAGAAAGCTGCAGAAGAAGAAACATGAGCTGCTATCAGACCTGAGGCCACCCTCACCTCTTTCAACCGATGTTAACATTCAGTTTCTGTGACCCACAATAAGTGTATACTACCTGGGCGTGGCAGCTTTTGTCTCTGAGACAGAGAGAGGAAGTCCATGGAGCCATATAAAGCTAATTTGAAATTCGAACCGTTTTGATAATAAATTGTGAAAACTTAACATTTAAGCATATTTGTCTTCTCTCTCATAGAAAACCCCAACAGTCCTCAGTTTCCCTCTGTTATTTGTCACGTTGTCATCTTACCTGCCCTTATGCTGCTCGAGTGTTTGTTTTGTGTTTTCTATGTCTTCCTCTGAGTTTGCTAGTTTTTTGAGTAATTGTATTTTGAGAACACAGCAATAAAGCTGTTTTTGAGTTCACACCATGCCTCCTGATTCCTGCATTTGGGTCCAACTTCCTGCTTCAGCACAGCCAACACATGACAAAGGCCAATATTAAATGGACTGGTTCTTATATTTTGCTTTTCTGCTTGAGCACTGAAAGCTCTTTATACAATGTGTCTCATTCACCTGTTGATACAAGCAACTTATTTCTATGCATTTTCTAACTAACATTCACACACCAATGGATGCATCAGAGAGCAACAAGGACCCAAGAATACTTTGGCACACACACTGGAGCAGCCAGGATTGAAACTACCAATACTCTAATTAGCAGAAGTTTAAATATTTAGTTTAAATCTTGTGTTGTTTCATGAACTCACCTAACGCAGAATAAAGTGATTAGTGAATAGTATTTTTGAAACCTCTGTAAATTTATATAACACTCCCACATATATATATAACCCAACACTTTCAAACTCACCCATCTCCTATAGGCCACACAAAGCAAATACATAACACACTATGTTAGCGTGTGAAGCATAAGGAGTGTGTGTAGACTTGGCTGCAGTGACTTTGCAGCTCTTTGGAAGTTGGATTTGAAATAACACCCCCAAATGATGGAAGCCGTTGCATAAAATTAAGACACGCTTCTACATACCTTGTAAAAATGAAAACATCTACCAAAAAGTAAAAAGAGAAAAACAAGCAGGCTAGTCACGCATCTTGCTCGAGTTTAAAAGTACGAACCGCTATGATCGCCTAAGGGTAGACTGCACAAGGTTTGCAACCCTGCATACTACTGGGGTGTGATTGTTTGTGCATTTGTTTTAATACGTGAGTAATCATCTACAAGGGAGTTGGCATAGGGACAACAATGGCTTAATGTGTTAGGCTCTTCTGTTGGCAAAAGTATATAAAAGAGGCAGCCTGCTGGAGGAGAGAAGGAGTAAAAGAGACAGAAAGGTACATAGGCGTTTGCTGTCACGTGCCATGATGGAGATGTATTAAAGACTTTTCTAATGTTTACTAGACTGTCGTGAATGTGATTAAATTAACTCTGCAAAGGTTATTAGGCTCAACATAAAACACTTTTTGGCATCAAAAAATTAAACGGCTTATGAACTGTAGTGTATACATTGATACCAAGGGAATAATATCATTGTACTAATTTTAACAATTAATCCTAAACAGTTACTGAAAATAAGAAGGGATGCTTATGTGTGTTTATAAGGTTTAATACCACACTTCTGGATTGCTGAATAAGCTTTGCAGATTTGCATGGAAAGGTTAAACATCATGATGAACTTGTGTTTATTATACCGTCTGCCTGACTCAATTAGATAAATAAAGTCTTTGGCATTAAGTTGGACCTTGAAGTGTAGTAGAATGAGCTTTGCCCTTCAAATACTATAACATGTCCTCACCACAGCTGGATCATGCAGTTTTTAGAGACCGTCACTGTGTTACAACATTACTTAGCCTGTGGCCATAACATTGCACTTTAGGTATGTGAAGATGCCATCTAATTTGAGAAGGCGTGTGGGTGACGTGATTACAAAACAGGGCATGTTAGCACCCATGTGTCTTTTATCTCAGACCCACAACTTTTCTGGAATTGTTGATTTGTGCAGAGAAACACTGCTTATTTGTGAAGCTTTTGTGTTGATGCTAACCTAGTGCAATTAATGAAATGATGACAGACACACCACTGATGCTCGAATGACGCATTTCATGCATGCAATAAAGAGGTCCACCCAAACTGTATTGCGTCAAATGCATACATGTCCATACCAATTAGAATATTTTTCTTTCTATTTAAAAATCTGCAGAATTACATTATATAGAAAATGCAATGACTGCCTTCCATGATAAATGACTGGGGATAGTACCCAACTATGGCACATTAATACACATACATTTGCATATGGAGTATAAATATGAACCTTTTTGATACTTTAAAACCTAGTCAGTCTGTGACTTTAACTTTCTTTCCTCTGGTATTGATGTTAGTGATTCATGTCTGGACATTGTAAATATTATGGCCAACCTGACTGCGCAGGATGATCGACTTTAGTTTTTCACCCACACTCATCAGGATTTTTTTTTTTTTAAATAAACTTATGACACATAACTTGATGACACAGGAAGATGATTGCGTAAATGTTTGCAACTTGAACTAAATCAGTTCAGAAATAAAATCTTTCACATGGTTCAATGTGGAATGACCCCCAGAGTGAGACAGAGAGGCTAAAGCGGGAAGACATGCTGCCAACGGGCTCTTTGTGTGGCAGCCAAGAGTGTTGAGGAGTCACGAAATCCTGTTGCCGTGAACTTGATTCACAGAGCTAACTGAAATCTAACAAACACAGATAGAATTTAAGTGGATGTTAACTAGCTGAAAAAAAGTACATTATACATTGTACTTATTTGAAAAAAGTACATTTTTTCAAATACTACATTAGTATTAGTACAATGTTAGTGCGCTTAAAGGCCAATTAGATTTTTTTTAATCTAAAATAATAAATTTCATATTCTTAGTGACAAGGTTTGCCTTTGAAATCAAAACACTTCAGTTTAACCATAGTACTTGAGTAAATGTACTTTTCTTCCACTAACAGTAAATCTAGTCAACAAGTCAAAAGCATTGTTATAAAAATTATCTTACTGTCATGTCACGTTATGACGTCCACGTGAAACCTCACGCATCAGTCGTGATCCAACAGCGCCATCTATAGACGGAAGTGTACCCTGCGTCTTACCGCCCCGACCCATCACCTCACTGCTGCAAAACACAGCACAGGCCGGGCTACAGTAGTCTGTCTGTGAATAACAACAAGGAACACCAGCAAGATGTCTGACATGGAAGATGATTTTATGTGCGATGATGAAGAAGATTACGACCTGGTATTTATAAATAAAATTATTCTGCTTGCTTGAATATTGTTAACGTTTGTCCGCTGAGCGCTGACACAAGTCCCGACAGTACATGCTAGCTAATGTTAGCGCTTTAGTTAGCCTGCTGGCTAGCACCAAGTTGACAGCGAACCAACTATGGTTAGCTTCCTAGCTGGCTATCCATAGTTGGTTTTGGCTGATATGCTGCTAACTGATATTAATATACTTTAAACACGTAGTTTAAAGCGTATCCAGCTGTCATTTGGATTTGAACTGCAGTCAGGAAAATCAAGTCAACTGGCTAGCTAGCAAGCATGACAATAGCTAACATTAGCTCATGGTTAATATTAATAGAATATTTTCACAGGCGGTCTGGCATGCTTAGTTTTTGCGTTAACTTGCTGAGAGTTTGTGGTGAACATGTGTTTTATACGTTTGAAGTGACTTTTGCGATTTAAGTTTTTACATTCTTGTATACTTAAACTTAGGAATACTCAGAGGACAGCAATTCAGAGCCAAATGTGGACTTGGAGAACCAGTACTATAACTCCAAAGCCTTGAAGGAAGATGATCCCAAAGCAGCGCTTAGCAGTTTCCAGAAGGTGGAGTCATACGCCAGAACAATAATTTCTTCTCTGTAGCTCTCTATTCAAGTTACTTAAAAATGGAATTTACTAACGTATGTTGACTTTGGTGTGTTCAGGTGCTGGAACTAGAAGGAGAGAAAGGAGAATGGGGGTTCAAAGCACTTAAACAGATGATCAAAATCAATTTTAAGCTGGTATACTTTGTAAAACCTTTCACCATTGTCTTTTACACTTACCCCACAAATTGTTGAGAGGTGGTTTAATGTGTTTCTCAACTCTGTAGACAAACTTTCCAGAGATGATGAACAGGTACAAGCAGCTTCTCACATACATAAGAAGTGCTGTTACCAGAAACTACTCAGAGAAGTCCATCAACTCCATTCTGGACTACATCTCTACCTCCAAACAGGTGTGGATAGACTGTTTGACATGCATATGTTTTGGGGACTTGAAGCGTTTACCGTGTTCAGTGTTTTCTAAAATCTACTTCTCTTGTCACTAGATGGACTTGCTCCAGGAATTCTATGAAACCACACTGGAGGCTTTGAAGGATGCAAAAAATGACAGACTGTGGTTCAAAACTAATACAAAGGTATACAACGATTTCCCACTGATTCCAGGTAGTCTTAAATAATTCTCTAGTAAAATAAATGTTCAGACTTTATTTTTTAATTCAGTTGGGGAAACTGTACTTGGAAAGAGAAGAATATGGGAAACTGCAAAAGATCCTTAGACAACTACACCAGTCCTGTCAGGTAATTTGTTCTGTTAATCTTTATTTTGCAGAATATGGAATATGTGTCTTTGGTTTTATCACAGCATTGTCTTGTAGATCTAATTAAATGCAACGTGGTTGCCCGGTTACTTCAGGCTGAGATAATATCCATTTCTTAATTAAGAGTTCAAATAAGTCTTAATTCACTACTTTTGTTATCATGAAGCTGCTGGTATGTTAGAAGCGTATGTATATTTCACAATAGTAATTATTTAATAAGTGGTTGCTTCTCTTTTTTTTTTTCTTTTTTTTTATGAACTACAGACAGATGATGGCGAGGATGACCTAAAGAAAGGCACGCAGCTGTTGGAGATCTATGCTCTGGAGATCCAAATGTACACAGCACAGAAAAACAACAAGAAATTGAAAGCCTTGTATGAGCAGTCCCTTCATATTAAATCTGCCATTCCTCATCCACTCATAATGGGAGTTATTAGAGGTATGAAGGCGTAGCTCACAGAGCAGTTGCATAGTTTAATGTTCAACTGCTACACTATATATTGTCAAGCTTTTTGCTGCATAACTTGTGGTTTTTGCTTTTTTGTTTTTGTTGTGGTCCTGGCCAGAGTGTGGTGGGAAGATGCATCTGAGGGAGGGTGAATTTGAGAAAGCTCACACAGACTTCTTTGAGGCCTTTAAAAACTACGACGAGTCTGGAAGCCCACGAAGGACGACATGCCTGAAGTATCTGGTCTTAGCAAACATGCTTATGAAGTCTGGAATTAACCCCTTTGACTCTCAAGAGGTGGGAATTAGTTGTTTTATAATTTTTTGTAAGGTTGCTTTCCGTAAATGGTGATAGAGTGTATCTAGTAATATAAACAACACACAGATTAGCTGGTTGCCATATGTTTTTGCAGGGTTTGTTGTTGTTGTTGTTGTTGTTATTTTGAAAAGGCATCCAGTGGATTTTATTCATTAATTTGTAAGTTGAACTGTTTTTACACGAAAAAAAGTGCATATGCAGAATTACTGAAGCATTCATGAAACGTGCAAACTGCTAATATTGTTATCAGATTCATTTGTTTGTATGCATGATCTGAGGCAAGGCTAAATTTTTAAATACTGATCAGTCACAGATTTGTGCGTGTAACATTCGTATGCATTGTTAATGAATGAATAATGTTTTATGCTTAAGCTGCAAATAAGTCCTTTTTTTCCCCCCAAGGCCAAACCATACAAAAATGACCCAGAGATCCTAGCGATGACAAACTTAGTAAGGTAAGCATGCATTCATATTCTATTCACTAATAGTACAGCATGCATCACAAAGTTAGTTAAGCGCACAAATTGTTAAACATAAAAAATAGTGCAGGTGTTGTTTAATCCAAAAAACACCTTTTCCGCTAGTACTTACTCAGATCGACTCAATGCAACTAGACTCTACTCTGTTTTGGTCATTTTCCTTTAGCTGAAAGTCCCTCGATGACATTTGTATGCAACAGGAATACCACAGCAACAGTGATGGTATATATTCTGGTTGGTGTATTGCTTTTTGTCAGACACGGGGACCATGGTGTTGTTTTATTTTTTAGCCTTTTCTCGTGTTGTGGGGTTTCAAAAATGTCTGGTTTGATTTTCATAAACGAGATGCTGTCGCGCCTCATTAAGCGATATCACTGACTAGGCAATCGGTGGCTAGTCTGTTGATGTCACATCTTTGGATTGCCTCAGATCAGTTGGAACCCTGGCTGAATAGGTTTAAAAAAAAAAAAGTACCTGGTACAGGTACTACCACCTAATGGAAAACCCTAAGTCGGTACTAGTTAACAAGGGCTATAAGTTATTACATACAAGTAATAAGAATAATCTAGTCCTGAACGGGTCTTAAAAATGAGTTAAATAGAACATCAGATGAACTACAAAGTATGACATATTATACTGTGTCGTCATTTATTTAACAAAAAATAGGGCAAAATGCAGAAACGGTATGCTGAAAACAAAGCTTTTAAAAAAAAAAGAGGAGTTCATTGTTGATAAAATGACTGCAAGGTGCCCAGGTCACGTGGCACTTTGCAAGGCAAGCTGACCGCCCCCGTGCTTGACAGTTGATATGAGGTGTTTTTCCTGATAGGCTGTGTTTGGTTTTCTTAAAAGGTTGTGCTTTCTGTTATGGTCTCCACCTTAGCCTCCTCTAGCCAAAGGATATTGTTCCATAAGTCTTGTGGTTTGCTCAGATTCACTTTTGCAAACCTAAGCTATGCTGTCATGTTCTTTATAAAGAGAAGATGTTTTATCCTCGCAGATCTTCCAAACAAGCCATACTTGTTCAGTCTTTTCCTCATTATACTGTCATGAACCTTGACATTTAACGTGTTAACTGAGGCCTGTAGAGTCTGAGATCCAGCTCGTGGATGTTTTTTGCAAAATCTCTGAGCATTCCACAGTCTGACCCTGTTGGGATGTTCACTCTTGAAAACACTTGTCTTGAATTTTTTCCACTTGTGAAAACAGTGGTATGGCAGACTTCATATTGTTTGGAAATTGCCTTAGAAACCTTCCCAATATGATGAGCAGCAACACAAAAGATCATTGATGATGCCTTTCCTCCTTGGCATTGTGTTAACACACACCCAAATGCTCCAAACTGCCAAAACATCTGCTTTCATAGAAGTGGTCACACTTGCTAATAATCAGTTAATCAAGCATATTTGATTCACAGCACATGCTCCTACTTACCTTCTGGATTTCTATGGAAATAGTAAGGATGTATTTAGTTTTTCTCAGACATTGCTTCTGCATTTTGATTTAGATTTTGTTAAATAAATAATGACAATGTAGAACGTATTGTTTAGTTCATCTGAGGTGATATTTACCTACCTGATCCTTAGTAGTTGTATTTATCTGCTAAGGGCCAGGTTGTTTTTATTACATAATGATCTCTATGATCACTGTGTGGTTGTTGCTTGCACACTGTCTCCAGCTCCGTCACTAAACCGTGTCTGTAAGGAGAGAACAAGCTTTAACACAAAAAGAAACTTTTAACTGGCAGAGATTGCCATCAGTCCCAGGCACATCATGTATAAAAATCATTTCTCGGAAATCCCACGTTCTATTCAGGTTTACTTAGGGTGTGTGGGTTAATAATTTAAGTTGTGCAATTGCATGCTAGTTGTAATCGTTTTTAATAGCCTGAACAGTGATATATTAACACAATTAGTGGTAGTAGGCTTATTCATAGCAGCTCGCAAAGCAGTAAGAGGATTTTTATACATGATCAGCCCATATTTTTTTTGTCTTCCTGAAACTTTTACTGGTCTTCGGCTTCCTCTTTTACACTCTTTAGTCTGCATGTTTGCATAAACAACAGGCACAATCTTGTGTTCTACGATTAAATTTAAGACTTATTACATAAACAAGAAGCTCGGAATGCACGCTCAAAACTGCAATAAGAATGGTGTTTACATAAAAATGTAACATTTTCGCAATGTGTTTGACAGCTTTCAGGATGAGAGTTTGTGTGTGGGTCACGGGGACACCATAAATACAGTAAAACAACAGTGACTGTTTTCCCTTTCAGCGCCTACCAGAACAATGACATCACTGAATTTGAGAAAATCCTGAAAACAAACCACAGTAACATAATGGACGACCCTTTCATCAGAGAGCACATAGAGGGTGAGTGGTGAACGTGACTTCAGTCCACGTGCTCAGTGAATGAGTTTGAAAAGTGTATCTGATTATGTGATGTTCTGTTGCAGAACTCCTGCGCAATATTAGAACTCAAGTACTTATTAAACTCATCAAACCGTACACAAGAATACACATCCCTTTCATATCAAAGGTAAGACCAAGGGCAATAAAGTTGTCCCATACATTGACTCTGTCTGTAGTCTTTCCTCTTTAGATAACCATTTATGCTCATTTTGAATTTTTTTTAAGACTTTAAATGGGTTCTACTGAAAAGCATTCACTCATATTCAAGACCATAAGGCTGAATGTGGAGTACAGAACAAAGATGGTGTTCAGACAGAATCTCATGTTGAAATGTTGTTGATTCTGGTTATACGTCACATTCTTTATTATCAGTCTAGCAGTCTTCGCTTTCAAAACTGAACACAGTGTATACACTATGGGAAGAAAGGTGTAAATGTGACTCAGGTGTAAAAAAAGCTCCATTACTTTTAGTTTAACATCATTGCCTTGGAATGTGCAGCTGTCATTCCGGCACAGATGAAAGGAGCTGATTTGGTGAGAGGCATACGTTTCTGACTGAAAGGAAAATTTGGTTTCCCTTCCCAGTCTGTCACTGTACTTTCAGTCTTTAAAGATTAATGGAAACAAGTATAACAGAAGTAAATAAAATACTGTTTTGGCATCAACATAACTTTATCCTGATGAAATCAGCATATGGAAGTCAACAGGTATATAATCACATTAATGGATCTCCAGAAAGAAGTACTAAAATAGTATGGTTCTGTGGTATAATATGTAAAAGTGTGAATTCAAACAAAAAAAAGAACTGAAATGTACATTGTAGGTTTATTTCCTCTGTTTATTTCAACCTTGATTAGCAACGTTTGGTTTAAAACAGAAAAGAGAGCTAAAGTGTCTGATTAACTGATAATCTTCACATAAGTAGGGGAATTATTAATAATTCAGAATGTTTAGGTATACTTGTTGGCGTGCATCTGAGTGGATCGGTCTTCACTTCTTCCTTTGTGTTTCAGGAGCTGAACATTGATGTGTGCGACGTGGAGAGTTTGCTGGTGCAGTGCATCTTGGATAAGTAAGCTTCTCACATGTGTGCTGAGAAATTGAGCAGAAAAAAGATCCTTCCTGTAGATAGATGTACTTCCTCATATTTTGCATCCTTTGGCCAATAAGGGAGTAAGGCGGGTATGAATAGACAGTTTCAGTTAGATCTTCAGTTTAATTTACAGTCTTACTGTAACAGTGACCTTACGTAAATGCTTGTGTAAATGACATGCCAAGATGTGAAAACAACACACAGCGTGTTTTTACTTTTAGTCATTTTCTTGTTGTCATCTGCAAGGTTTTGCTACAAGATTGAAAGTATCAGGAAAAGAAAAACCACAGTTATTATTTTCTTTTCCTAAATATGGTTTCAAAAACTGAAATCTTTATGTTTTGCTTCTTTGTCTTCTCAGTTATTCTGCCTTCGAAGGGAGGGCGTATGTAATCGCTTCCCTCTGCTTGTTCCTCTGTTTGTCTATTTGTTAGTAATCTAGTGTCCACAGTTTTCAAGATATCAAATTTTGGGTGATGTTAGATTCCAATAATGAGCTGATTTAATTTAGGTGAGAATCAGGTCAGTTTCAAGTTCAATGTGAAAATCAGTAAAAACGTTATATTACTCACAATTAACAACAATATTGTGGGTCTTGGAGGATATTAGTACCTATGTTGGCTTAAGTATTTGAACCTTGACGGACCTTGTTAGCGCCCCAAGGTCATTGTTGACTTTGGGGGGGGGAAAAAATTCAAGAAACCATATAGGGTAGTCATGACAAGGCATGGAGAGGGCTGTACAAAAAACTGTTTTATTTTTTTCTCATGCGCTACAAAATGTCACAGTGATGCCATAACAGGGTGATGTCATCATATTGTAATAAAAGCAAAAAATTTAGTATAGCCGTTGCTCTTCGGTGGGGAGTTACACTCACTGATTGGTCTTGTGTTCTGTATTTTCTTATGTGTTTTTATTGTATTACATGGTAATGGTATTTTTTAAAAATAAAAATTGCATTTTAGTGCTGCACTTTTTAAAAATTCACTGAACTCCTATATAAAATCAAGTGGAAGTCTTGTAAACACACTGATACTTTTCTTTCCTTTTCCTTCACAGCACAATCCATGGACGAATTGACCAGGTGAACCAACTACTAGAACTGGACTACCAGAAAAGAGGAGGGGCTCGTTACACAGCTTTAGACAAATGGACAAATCAGCTGAACTCCTTGAACCAAGCCATTGTTAGCAAGCTCACATGATGGCCTGTAAAATCAAGAGACAAGGAGAAATGGCATGTTTGAATACATCCATAAAGTTATGCTACTGTGCTCCTTCAAGTTTATCCTCTGAGACAAGAGGCACAGCACAGGCTTTGAGAATGCGTCAATATCAAGAAGACCTCCAGCACTCTTAAGACAGTGTTCAGAGTGTGTTGTTTTGTGCTGATAAAAGGAAATCACTGGCACTTGTTTTTGTTTTCCGTGTTCCTAATTGGCAAATCCTTCCATGTGCAACACAAAGTTGCTTAAGTCGTGAAACAAAACCTCCGAATGTGTATGAAAACCTGTACACAGTATTTTAATGTATGCTGTTGCCTGTTGGTAATAAAGATTTCTCTCAGCACTAAATGAGTTCAGCTGCCTTTGACTAGCTACAAACTTTGTGCTTTGGGAATTTGATCAAGTAGAATTGAATAAATAAAGGTTTTGAAACTGTTAGCATTGAGATTCATGAGCATTTTCTTTCATGTTACTTTGACTTCCCCTTTGAAGATATTTTTGTGCGCTCGTGACGTAAAACGGTTTCCAGTCGCTTGAAACTTTTTGGACCTCAACGGCTTCCGTTCCAGGTGACACCCATTTTCCCCCTGACAGCACTCCGCTCCTCGACACCAGCTACTCTGCTGAGAGCGCAGCTAGCTGACGCAGCAGCAGCAGTTAACGGTGGGGGTCTGCTTAGAAACTGGGTGTGAGTGACTGTTGGTTATTAATATTTACAATGAAGAAATTAAAAATACTTCAATCCTGACGTCCACACTGTGGTCGATGACGGTCTGGCGCGGCGTCGGTGACTGACATGGACGCGAGTGACAACAAGGTACAGTTTATTTCAAATTGGTGTGGGGTTTTTTTGGAGTGTTGCTAACGCTTTAGCCTTTAGAAATTGATAAATAACGTTAGTTTATATCGAGGCCCCAAAAATTCGGATCCTTTTTGCATTGCTCTTAAAGCGATAGTGTAATTCAAATGGCTTCGTTGCGTAAATGAGCTTTTTGGTGTCATTATTCGTACTAAAGCTACAATGAGCTTCGGTGTTTTGTCAAGCGACAGCAATAAAAGCACTCCTCTTATTTGGCTAGGAAGCTAATAGTAAAACGGCTAACGGCATTTAAAGCGTTAAGGGCGATTTTTTTTTAAGGTAGCACACGGTGTGTTTGTTCTCTATTGTTCCAGCATTTTTGTTTCTGGTCATTTTTTTTGTCTTGGGAATATATCTGTGGCAGTACTCCTGTGGTTATGGACAGACTTGCTTAAATGTTAGCACGGCTTGCTAACTAAAGCTAACACCTTTGCTGTTCTTTGAGGGTGCTTGTCATTTTAGTCAGAGCGATAGGTGGGCGCTAGCAGTACTTTTTTTTTAATTAACTGTGTAATTGTGATCGTAATTTCTTCGAGACTTCAGAAAAAGGTTTCAGTCAGGTGGGTATGTTTGCATGAGTGCTGTTGTTATCGGGGAGGCGGAGAGGTTTCATGGATCGTCAGCAGAGGAATGTCTGGTTCTTCTGCATGTCTGTCATTCCTCTGACGCTGTTAGCTATGCAGAAAGTTGACTTTTCTGTTCGGAGGCCTTTGTTGCCAGTCTCTCAAAATAACCTGGCATCAAAATCGCTCCCTCCTGGTGATTTTTCTGGATGAGACAGGTCAAATGCGATCCTTTTTTCTAAGAAAATACATGTGACAATGCTGATGATGTTCCTCTCCTTAATTTATGTGTAACATTCTCGCTGTCCACCCTGGTTTCAGCACACAATCGCATGCTGTTTGCCGGTGTTTGACAGCAGCTGGTGTGAGAATAAATGCTTGCACAAACAAAGGCTTGTGAGATCAGTAGCCCCCCAGTCCATCATCCCCAAGGGATGCACATCTGGGTCTGACCTCATTGCCCTTTTTTTCAATCACAGCTGACGCATTAACCATCTCAAAAACGAGGTTAAATCAAGCTATGAATTCTGACCAGCTATGTCTTCCTTCACATTGTTAGCTGGATTCTCTACTACTGTTCAAAATGCAAGATTCACCCAGAGTGCACACAAGGCCTCCATATTGTGGCTTGGCTGATAATTAGCTTATCCTGTCGTACTGTCCCTACTTTATCCTCTCAAACTTAATCCTGTAACATCATCCTGTCAGCCATAGTATGCAACCGCATACATTTAGACCTACTGCTGTAGTTCTCAACTCTGGGGGAAGTATCGTTCTGGTCATGGACATTGCTACCGTTCTCTGGGGGTCTGAGAGTTTCAGAATCTTTCATTTATGGCTGTGTGATCGTCACCAAACTGGCAGAGCAGGCTCCATTTACCATAACTCTCTTTAGATTTAGATTTAATGAGCTCCATAGGTTACATAAGAAAAGGTGGTAACTACCCACAGACAATAGCAGTGGGAGACAATAGCTGTCTGTGACATCCCCTGGCTGCACTGATACTCCATTCATGCATCCCGACCACAGTTTCACAGAAGTGAGGGGCCATCTTTGTACTCTGAACTCTGTCACCTCTCTTCATCTTTTGCAAAATGGCAACTTAGACCAAGGTCTCAGAGGTGTGTCCGGCTCTTGTAAACAATAAAGGAAAAACTAATGACGCACAAGAGGGGTAGTTATATTTGGTCCGCAGTACTTTACTTAATATTTTGCATTTTGTTAATATTAATCAAATTTATTTCAAATCAAGTCTTTTTTGGGGGGCCTCAGGGCATTAGTGTTTTGCTTATTTTTCACCAGGACCTCTTGTTTGTTTATTTCATCAGACAAGCATTTAAGGAGCATGTAATAAGCTGTAAAGCATCTTTGGTGACATGATATTAAGTAAAGTTTTTGACTTCTACTTTGAATGCAAATTACTTCTAGACAAATGGCAAAGGAAACATTTTGAGGAGAGTTTGGAACTGAACTGTTAACTTATATTTTGCTTAATTTTTTTTAAATTATTGTAACGTTCAAGGCCTCAAACATTATCTTTGAATGTATGATTGCGATTGCCCTAAAAATAAAAATGAATAGACATTCTTAGTTAGGTAACACCCATTATAAATGACATAAATGTGTCATAAAAATATTCCAAACTCCTCTTGGCTTCAGTCGACCATATAAACTGCAAGTGTTCTGTGTATGTCTCCCTTCCAGTTGGGTGTTAAGTCATATCTGATCTCAATGAAGTTTTATGTCCTTGTGTTAAGGCCCTCCTGTTTGTTTGTTTTTGTTTGTTTTGTTTCTTAGCTCTTTAAGACTGTAAACCAACAGAAACTGTATGAGGAAATGTGTGGCATAGTTTATGATTACTACAAAACACATAACACTGGTCAGTCTGCTGGTAGTCAGTGAATTGCACTTTGTCTCTTTTGGATGTTTGCTGCTATAGTATTAATGTTCCTGGGTATAAATTGTCCTCTGTCAGTGTTGTTTTGCAGTGTTTTTAGAATTAAGGTTGTAAAGTGTTTCCATTAGCTAGAATTTTTTTTAACATGAGAGTGATAGCTTATCAATCATCACAAACCTGCCCGGGCAGAGAACATAGAAGGGTTTTCATGATTATATTGTTATGACCTGTTGCTTCATTCTACAGCTATCTCAAGTAGGTGTGGGGTTGCAATAACAGTACAATAATGTTATTCATTGCTCTCTTTAGTTACATGTGTGGAAAATGTGATCAGCTGGCTCAGTGACTAGTTAGAATTTGACAAATAGATCTTAGGTGGAGATATGTTTCCGTCTTCTCATGGAGCCAAATATTGTCTGCCTTTGCTCAGCATCTGTCATTAATCTTTCTTCATTCATCTCTGTGCAGAATGTGAAGCTTTCACCTGAAGTGGAACCGTTCATCCCACAGAAGAAAGGTCTTGACGGATCACTAGTCAGCATGAGTCTTTCTGGCGAGGCAGGTGGAGGAGGGGGCGGAGGCATAGGAGGCAGTGGAGGGGTGGAAAGTACTCCCATTCCAAGCTACCTCATCACCTGCTACCCTTTTGTCCAGGAGAACCAACCCAACAGGTAGTGTTACTCTCCCAAAATGAGGGGACATTTGGGAATGGCTGAAACCCCAACTCTTGTCTCTGAGCTGATGGGACTGGTGGTTCCAGTTCAGGATAATTATGGATTTTTCCAGTGTTGCTAGTGTTGAAATATCGTCCCCCCCTGTAGCATTGTGGGAAGTCTGGTGACTTTTGAACTGCATAAGAACAATCTGCTCTCTTCTAAACTGTTCGCCACTACTTCTATTTTTGGAGTAACTCATTTATTCTTTGTCACTAAAGTCATTGAAAAAAAACACACATTTCATTCCCAATGTTGTGCTTCACAAAACGAGATGCTGATCAGATCCTTGAAACAATGCGCTGATTCTGAACATTGCTCTGTACTGTAAGACAGTTTAATTATGAATGGAAACCTCCATAGCTTTAGAGAGTTTATATCGAGGGGTAATCTGTGTTTCCAGTCCCTCTTTCTTTGTCCTGAGTGATCTGTTATATCCTGCGAACATCCGTTCTTTTGTTTCCTTCCCTACAATTTGAATGCAAGGAAATGCCCACTATAGCAGGCTGGCTGTGAAAATGTCAACTGGATCGTTATCACCATTTGTGTATTTTGTGCATGTACCCTCTTACAAACCAGCATTACATATGATAACCTTTCCATTATAGCCCTCTTATTTTGTAGAGGACATATTAATCAGTTGTCCCAGCAGTGCTACATGTTTAAAAAACACGTTTTAAACACTGGAAACAAATTCCACAAAGTAGAGATGCATTGGTATATAAAACAAATTTCAGTATTTGCCGATATTTAGCTAACATGCAATGTTCTGTGGTGTACTGTATGTTGTTGTTTAGTGTGCTCTGGGAAGGGAGTATTGTTCTGTTTAAGTTGTTACAGAAAATTTTTAGCTGGCTTTAGACAGCTTTCCACAAAAACCCTGTGGTGGAGAAGACATGCTTGATTTTCATGGTTGCGTTTAGTTGAAAGGGTGTAATGTTGGTAATAATCCAACATGTCATTTTTCTGCTGCTCCACAGGCAACATCCCATGTATAATGGAGGAGAGCTGCGCTGGCAGCAGCCTAATCCTACCCCTGGTGGTCCATACCTGGCCTACCCAATCTTGTCTTCTCCCCAGCCGCCTGTCTCTAATGACTACGCTTACTACCAAATCATGCCTGCGCCATGCCCACCTGTGATGGGCTTCTACCAGCCCTTCCCTGGCACCTATCCAGGTCCAGTACAAGCTGGAGTGGTCAGTCCTGTGTCTGCAGATGTCAGTGAAAGACCCATGGCACTGGGGCCAGCATATGGAATGACCAGTCAGCGGGGGAGAGGCATGGTCCGGTCTAATGTTCTCCCAAAGGTGCAGAAGATCAACAGCTTTATTTGGATTTTGTTCTACTGATGTTATTCCACACTAAAACGTTTGCCCCCATTTATCTCTATCAACTTTGTGAGAATGCCCTTTCTTTGTTCTACAGCAACATTTGGGTGTGTGCCAGCCTACAAGAGGTCGTCGGCCTCCAACCAGGAGTGTAGCTGTACAGAAGGAGGTGTGCACCTTAGGGCCGGATGGCAGGACTAAAACCGTAATGTTGGTGGATGCAGCACAGCAGACCGGTACGAATACTGTGGCTATAATTAAAGATATGTTTAATTCCTAGCACTCAGGCTGTATGCAGGATTTATGTAACAATAAACAATGTCAAATAAGAAAGACTTTTAAGTCTGAAGACTGAATAATCTGAGTTCAAATATGATTACGGTCAGTCATGTTCCTTTTTTCCTATCACTTGAAGGAAGCTGATGTTGAACACATTCCAGACTTTGTTAGAGTTAATTGCTTTACGTAACAACAAGACTCTTTCCTGTCAGCGAGGAAGTAGGACACAATACCAGTAAGAGCTGGGTCTAGTCCTACAGGTTGATGTTGGTGATATCTGTGCTTCTAAAAAAAATAAAAACAAAAAAAAGTGGAATGCTGATTTTCTAGTTAGAGAGGTTAACCTTTCGCAGACAAGTATGTCAGCAATATTTCTTTTGCTTGAGTGAGCTAACAAGCCTGTTTAAATAGTTTGACTCCACAGCTGGGATTTTACAACCATATAATAATAAAATGTCACATTGATGGTCGTAGTAAAGTTGACTGAAGTTTTATTACATTTGACGGTCTAAGTTTCCTCTACCTTGTCCTCAGATTTCCCAGGTGAGGTATCAGGGCGTTGTGCTGCCGAGCGAGTAAGTCCTCTGCTGTGGAAAAACCGAACAAAGAGAAGACGGGCTTCCCATCCAGCTGAAAGCTACAACGAGACTGGTGCAAGTGAAGCCGATATAGACAGTGATAGCGGCTACTGTAGCCCCAAACATAACCAGGGAACCGGGGCGATGCAAAGAACAGCAGAGAACGCAGCAGCACCCATGGTATGTTGCCTACTGACAAAGTCCTCCAAAACCAATAAACTTACCTTTGAAATATATATTTTATCAGCAAAGGATATTTTTAACTCTAATCATGTGAAGGATAAAATAAACAAAGCTGTACAGATGTAAGATGGGAAGAGGAAGTTGAATATTTTTAAAGTCACACCGAAAGGTCAGTTACAGTGTATCTAGCTTTAGTAATGTGATATCTGTCAAAATATGTTCTGATGTGTACTTAGAGTGGAACTTAAATGATTGCTTTAGAGCAACACACAGCCTAGAAGCTGCATAAGCCTAAGGACTAATGAGCAAAAGTGATAGGTAGCATGTACATTTTTCATCAAATGTAGCTTAAATTAATTTACAATTTTACAGTAAAGGTGCTGAGGGCACTTTGAATCGGAGGATTTGTTTTTGTTATACTTGGAAAAAGTATAATAAAAGTATAATGTAGTATAAAGTGCCACATTTCCAAATTTCTCTTTTAGTCCATTTTTTCCTTTTCATGTTTGCTATTATAGTTATAATAGAGCCAATTTAAGTACATAGCACAGCTGACACCAATGAGGGAGCTGTACTAAAGTCTTTAAATTTATTTGCCCACGTAGTGAAACACACAAATGGCTCAGCTTTTTTTTGTCCTTTTGTCTGTGTGTGTTATAGGGAGTAGAGGCTGGTGTAATGACTGGTAAGTTTGGTCTAAGATATTTTCTGAGCTCAATTTCGCTTTGTGTTTTATACTGATATCTATTACGTATCCTGTAGTTATTGTATTAAAAAGGATGGAGGTGCTCCTTTTTGTATGAGAAATACTTCTTTCTCCCCCCCCCTTTATATTTACTAGCAGGTACCTGGGTAAATGTAGCATCTCAGGCTACCTCAAAGTCCTGGGTGGACAGAAACGGTCAGTTTCACAGAGCAGATCAGAGGAAGAATCCCGAGCAGAGAAACTTCTCACAGGTAAAATAGATCCCAGTGGAGCAGAGACAGACTTGTTCAGCATAATGTACTTTAAAGAGAAATAATTGTCATGTTTCAAAATTACATAAATCATTAGCATTCTTCTTTTTGTTGTTGCCATTTTTAGATGCCTTGAAATACTGAGTCAGCTATATGTGTGAATTAGTTTATTTTGCTATTTTTGCTCTGGCCTCCTTTCCCAACAAGTTCCCCTCCTTTGATACTAGCTACACAAATAGACCGGGGTTGAGAAACTTGTTGAATACCAGTGGTACCCTGTCTGACTGGTGTGTTCACTCTCTGTTTCTGCCTTTCAGGATTACCACAGTGGGTGTCAAGGGCGTATGCCACTCAACCAGTCGGAACAAAGACATCCGCCAGTAGCAGTCACAGGCACAGACCTCACTCCAGAGCCCCTCTATTTTGAGGTGAGCGAGTGTTATCTGTGAATATCTCAGTACTGTTACCATGACATGTCTTTTTTTTTTTAGAGAATTTGAATTTTGTGCCAAATGGATTTCTGTGGATTTGCTAGGATGAAGACGAGTTTCCAGATCTTGCTTCTGGTGGGGCCGCTCAGCGCAGCAACAAACCAGAATCAACTCCAGCTCAGACACATACGCAACCTAAGCTGCCCAAAAACCTGGTAAGGCAAAACCCCTTTTGAACACAGTTCTCTGTGCCATCATTTGAATATAAGGGCTGTGTATGTGTCCTTCTTATACAGGGAGTGCAGAATTATTAGGCAAATGAGTATTTTGTCCACATCATCCTCTTCATGCATGTTGTCTTACTCCAAGCTGTATAGGCTCGAAAGCCTACTACCAATTAAGCATATTAGGTGATGTGCTTCTCTGTAATGAGAAGGGGTGTGGTCTAATGACATCAACACCCTATATCAGGTGTGCATAATTATTAGGCAACTTCCTTTCCTTTGGCAAAATGGGTCAAAAGAAGGACTTGACAGGCTCAGAAAAGTCAAAAATAGTGAGATATCTTGCAGAGGGATGCAGCAGTCTCAAAATTGCAAAGCTTCTGAAGCGTGATCATCGAACAATCAAGCGTTTCATTCAAAATAGTCAACAGGGTCGCAAGAAGCGTGTGGAAAAACCAAGGCGCAAAATAACTGCCCATGAACTGAGAAAAGTCAAGCGTGCAGCTGCCAAGATGCCACTTGCCACCAGTTTGGCCATATTTCAGAGCTGCAACATCACTGGAGTGCCCAAAAGCACAAGGTGTGCAATACTCAGAGACATGGCCAAGGTAAGAAAGGCTGAAAGACGACCACCACTGAACAAGACACACAAGCTGAAATGTCAAGACTGGGCCAAGAAATATCTCAAGACTGGTTTTTCTAAGGTTTTATGGACTGATGAAATGAGAGTGAGTCTTGATGGGCCCGTGGCTGGATTGGTAAAGGGCAGAGAGCTCCAGTCCGACTCAGACACCAGCAAGGTGGAGGTGGAGTACTGGTTTGGGCTGGTATCATCAAAGATGAGCTTGTGGGGCCTTTTCGGGTTGAGGATGGAGTCAAGCTCAACTCCCAGTCCTACTGCCAGTTTCTGGAAGACACCTTCTTCAAGCAGTGGTACAGGAAGAAGTCTGCATCCTTCAAGAAAAACATGATTTTCATGCAGGACAATGCTCCATCACACGCGTCCAAGTACTCCACAGCGTGGCTGGCAAGAAAGGGTATAAAAGAAGAAAAACTAATGACATGGCCACCTTGTTCACCTGATCTGAACCCCATTGAGAACCTGTGGTCCATCATCAAATGTGAGATTTACAAGGAGGGAAAACAGTACACCTCTCTGAACAGTGTCTGGGAGGCTGTGGTTGCTGCTGCACGCAATGTTGATGGTGAACAGATCAAAACACTGACAGAATCCATGGATGGCAGGCTTTTGAGTGTCCTTGCAAAGAAAGGTGGCTATATTGGTCGCTGATTTGTTTTTGTTTTGTTTTTGAATGTCAGAAATGTATATTTGTGAATGTGGAGATGTTATATTGGTTTCACTGGTTAAAAATAAGGAATTGAAATGGGTATATATTTGTTTTTTGTTAAGTTGCCTAATAATTATGCACAGTAATAGTCACCTGCACACAGATATCCCCCTAAAATAGCTAAAACTGAAAACAAACTAAAAACTACTTCCAAAAACATTCAGCTTTGATATTAATGAGTTTTTTGGCTTCATTGAGAACATGGTTGTTGTTCAATAATAAAATGATTCCTCAAAAAAACAACTTGCCTAATAATTCTGCACTCCCTGTATCAGGCAGTGATACCATCCCTGACACAAAACATGAACAGATGTGCCATTCTATTTTTTCTACATTAATAGTTAAATGTGATTTATATAAGCAATTTATTTTATTTTTTATTTAAAAAAAATAGGAAATGCAAACGTTTTGATATAGATGGATAACTATTACTTCATACTTTGTGTATATAGCAAAGTGTCCAGCAAGATTTCTTTATCTAACTAGTGTCAGTGCACATCACCTCCTTAAATAAGTACAAACATTTGGAGTGTATCCTCCTACTCACCATCACTCAGTTGTGACACAATTATGTCTTTCAGTGTGTAAATGTAGTTGATAATTGAAGTTGTACATGATTGAGGGGAAATTGAGAGTACAGTTAAGATGTACCAAATCAAACACAGGGTGGAAAAATTGTTTTCTGACAGCTGGATATTTTGTTGTTGTTGTCCCCTGATGGTTGTGTATCAATGCAGCCAAATCACCAAATATTGTATTGGGAAATCTTTGCATCTTTGCTAATGTGTGCATCTACTTTCATAACAGCTGGAAAATCTGCCAGAAAACTCCCCTATCAACATTGTACAGACACCCATCCCCATCACCACTTCTGTTCCCAAGAGGGCCAAAAGCCAGAGGAAAAAGGCTCTTGCTGCTGCCTTGGCCACTGCACAGGAATATTCTGAAATCAGCATGGAGCAGAAGAAACTACAGGTATGAACTCTGCTTATGTTCCCTGGGCTGGAACAGGCTGGAACTCACCACTTCATGGCCTTAAAATATTATATTATTATTTTTAGCACACAAACCTGGTATTCTTCAGTTGTAATTAACCTTTTAAAAATTCTATGTACTTTTTGTCTCTTGTCATCTGACAGGAAGCTTTTATCAAAGCAGCAGGGAAAAAGAGCAAAACCTCTGTGGAGCTTGACCTGGGAGACATGCTGGCAGCTTTGGAGAAGCAACAGCAGGCTATGAAAGCCAGGCAACTCACCAATACCAAGCCACTGTCTTTTACAGGTATCGGGAAAGTTAATCATATGTTAAAAAGTGGCTTAAAACCTACAATACAAATTGGAAATAAGGATTTAAGCTAAATCTATCAAAAGTAAGCTCTTTACTTTGAGGCTTGTAGTAGGTTGTGCTCTGTAGATTTGTAGTGATTGTTGCCTAATGCTGCAGAATTTGTGTTGCTGGCTTGGTAACTGTAACTGACTGTTACCTCTGTGTCCAGACAAACCAGGGCTGCACAACTATGGCCAAAATTATATTTACAATTATTTTGTTCAAGAGCATCTCTTAGAAGAAAAAAAAAACCCTTCAGAATGAAGTCAGGACACTGCTTTCACCATTACAGTGTATTCCTGTTGATCTTTCTAAATGAATCTTAGCAGGAAAGTAAGATGAACTCTTTCATTCCATTAATTATACCCACATGATGGATGTGAACATATGCAGCAAAGCATTCAACAGCTATGAGATCCCTTTTATATCCTGTGACGTTTTGCATACAGCACGAGAGGAAAAGTTTTTCTTAAAGCATTTGTTACTGTTCTTAGTGGACATGGATCTTTGGCATTAATTCTACTGCAGTTTTCGGGCAGTTTGCAAGGTAAATCTGAAGTACTCCATTTAACAACTATGTAGCAACTGGCTGCTTTGAGTTACAAGCTCTTTGCCTTCTGCTGTGCATAAAGTGCAGGAAACTTCAAGCTGCACACAGTGGGGAGCAGCTGTGATTGGCATGTGGTCGAAGTTAGGCAGCACTTAATTTGCTTTGCATTTTTTTAATTGGCAGAACATGGAATTTAAATGTTGCCCACCTGCTCATGTTCATGTAATTGCAGGAAGCAAAAATCGTGATCAAGATAAAAATTTGATTTGTCATGCAGCCTTGAACCAAACATCACGACCCCTATGTTCACACACATCTACATAGACTTAGATTTCATTCTCTTTGTCTGCAGTTGGAACAACTACTCCCTTCCACAGCTCAGGCTTTACCAGTGTGCCGTCTATGTTGAGGGGTCATCAGCAGTCGCACTCGACCCCGCATAATGCCTTGGACTCCACTGCACCTCGTATAAAGAGAGGGAAGGAGAGAGAGATCCCCAAAGTCAAACGACCAACAGCCCTCAAGAAGGTTAATAATTTAAGAAAATATATTAAAGTTCTCTTTAAGTACCTTTGTGTTAGACATTATTTTTTCTCTTTGTTTATGTAGATTATTTTGAAGGAACGTGAGGGGAAGAAAGGGAAGCCATGTGCAGAACAAGAGTCATCAAGTCATGACGAACATGGGGATGAGTGTCTACATTTTACTGATGATCTTACGCAAGAGCCTGCTTCTCAGGAAGGTCAGTGTCATTACCAAGAAGTGAAGTAATTCAGTACCCACGCTTTTCTTTTTTTAATCCGTTATAAAGTTCCTCATTCTTATTTGTGGTCTGTTTTTTGTGATCCAGAAAATGGTCTGAGTGTGCCCAGTGATACATCCCTTTCCCCAGCCAGTCAGAACTCTCCTTACAGCATCACCCCAGTGTCCCAAGGTTCTCCTGCCAGCTCGGGTATCGGAAGTCCCATGGCTTCAAATGCCATCACAAAGATCCACAGCCGACGTTTCAGAGAGTAAGTGCTCACTATTACCCCGCGTGAACTGAAAAACTGTGACTATCGAATGGGGCAGACCTTTAGTAAGAAATGCCTGGAATGTCTGCAAAAACCCAGTGTGGTAACAAAACTGGTTAGGAAAGCAAATACTTGCCCCACTCAAAAATCACAGAGCCTCGGCTTGTAAGACGCACACTCTGAATGTTATCGGGTGTACAATAAAGAATTGTAGAGTATGGCACAGATGCCGAGCGCATTGTCCTCTCTCGGCAAAAATGTATGCCAGCGGTCACAAATACAGCATTGTCCCTCTCTGGCCCCTGATGTGGGCCTATTGTGCCAACCCACTCGTCTAGAACAGATTTAGCTTTTAAGTCTTCAAAAGGCCTCTGTAGCCACGCTCCTCCTCTCAGCTATGACCCCCAGGACACTTGTTCCTCAGACCACACCTGTAGAACTTCCAGTAGCAAAGTATAGTAGCATAAGCATTATGAACAAAGAGGCAAACAAAGCTGTCATGAAGAGCTGCATAAACTTTGAAAGTAATTTAAAGCCTTGTAGGACATAAGTCAGTCCCAAGTAGATATCTCCTAGTCCTTTTTTGTTAGCCATAAGACACTCTTCAATTAACTGTTACAATTAAAAAAATGTTTAGCATTTTATTGTCATTTTCATTTTCTTTCTTTCTCCCTCCCTCTTCTGCAGGTACTGTAACCAAGTGCTGAGCAAAGAGATCGATGAGAGCGTGACTTTGCTGCTACAGGAACTGGTTCGCTTCCAGGAGCGAGTCTACCAGAAGGATCCGACCAAGGCTAAATCCAAGCGTCGCCTGGTCATGGGTCTCAGAGAGGTCACCAAGCACATGAAGCTTCATAAGATTAAGTGTGTCATCATCTCTCCCAACTGTGAGAAGATTCAGGCCAAAGGTGATTATTGCAGTACTACCTCCAGCATCAAGCCATATTAGGTCATATTGTCTAAGGTCTGACCAGCTGAGCTGCCAATAGGTTTGAGTTCATATGATTATTTGTTAATATATTTATGTTGCAATTGGAAATCAGTCACATGTTGCAGCTAACAGAGAAATGTCTGTTTTTAAGCACCATTACAGCAGTTTTCATATTTTAGCTCTCCAGCCTGTTTTAATTCACTGTTTGTGGCCTAATAGAGTCATTTTCAGGAACAACAAAAAAATAAATGATAAAAAAAAGCTAAATAAAAAAACTACACTACTTATTTAGCACTAAACAGCTCACACACTGAGCAATGACGAAGCTCAACCAAAAATGGATTCAAGAAGGGGAATGCAGTACCTGTGTTTGCTAGGCCAGTGTGGTTATTTTGTTGCCACGAGATATTAGAGGTACTATTGCATTACCACAAGTAATGTGGTAATGTGTGACCATAAGATCAAATGCACATAACCACATGTTAGTAATGCATGGCCACAAGATATGTCATTTCCTGCTGGCCATACTGGGCAAGCTCTGCAGTTATTATTATATGAAAGCCGGTTTATCTGCTTTAGATTAATTAGATTTTTTGAGATCTAATTAGGGCAGGTTACCATCACTGATTTCTACAACTAATTCAATTCTGATTCACAAGGTCTCGATTTCATTTTATTCTATTCGATTTTGACTCGGACAGTCAGAAAAATCAGAATTATGAGCATTTGTCTTGGACTTGTACTATCTAAACCTTGTAAATTAAAAATATTTAATTCCAAATTATTTGACTATTTCTTTGCAATTAGATCGTTTACACCGAGTTTGTATGTACAAAAGCAGAGCTGACACTTGTTAGACTTAATCAGAGGTGCAAGCATCACAGCAGATGCCTTTGTGTCAGAGTAATTGAGGATAAAACCCAAAAATATGAAGGAGATTTTCCTGGCCAGGCTTTTTATAGCAGATAAGCACCTTGAAAATATTCTGCAGTAGATCGAAAACGGAAGGAAGTGAAGCAGAGCAAAGTTACAGAGGTTTTATTAGAGACACAGCAAAGTGCTTTGTGATTTGGCATAATTTGTAAAAGTTTACATTTCTTCAGTACTGAACAGCAGAAATTAGGCTTTCTTGTCGGGGAGAAAAAAAACCCCAACACTGAACACAAAAGTAGACTTGACCATAAAAAGCAAACAGATCTTTGATGGGAATCTGGTCTTGAAGTCAAGTGAGAGAGAGGAGGAAGTGTGATTGTTATCATGGTGGAAGTAAAATGGCAAAAGTAAGAGGGAATACATGACAATGTTTTTCAAACATGACGCGTAGTAGTTTTGGTTTTCTTCTGCTGCTGGTTCAGTGAATTTTGGTCAGAGAGTAACAAAACGTGCAGTTTGGGAATCTGTGAGATATCGTCTTTCACCACCCGACGGCATGTCCGCGTATGTGCCGTTGTGTGACCGGGGGAGTCTGCACTTTGTGTATACGTTTTTGCGCAGAGTCTGTTTACCTGCTCTTTAATTGTTTGCTGTTTTAGCTATCTGGCGGTTGTTGAAATTGTTTTGTGAGCTTTAAAGATTCTGGTGTTTCTGGCAAAATACATTTATATTTAAAAATCCATGCATTGTACTGTGTGCATATTTTATTTATTTTACCACGGTGTATTAACCCGTGATCGTCACTCATGTCACTGTGGGAGCTCCAAATG